AGGAGGGGACCCTGGCAAGTACCTTGAACACAAACATCTCCCCACGCAGCACCGCCACCGTGTCAAAGTTCCCATCGCAGATGTCGGGGCCGTACTGGTCCGGTCGGTCTGGGCTGCCAGGTCTGGGGGGCCGCTCCGGTTTCCCCGGGGGGGGTGGTTTAGGGGGTCTCTGGTCAGGCCTGCCAGGTCGCCGGGGTGTCACGGTGGGCAAAGGCTTGGTGGGCTGAGGGTGGCCATCTGCGGTACCTGGATGAGGGTGCCCATCTGCGGTACCTGGATTGGGCAGGCGAGAGGAGGGATGGGGTGATGCAGACCAGCAGTGCCTGTGCCTCAGTTTCCCCATGCATGTGCCCAGCATCCTGTCTCTGGGCTGATCCCCCACCCAGCTCCTCACCATACAGCTGCTGGATACCCTTGAGGTCATCTTCAGGCAGCTGGAAGTTTTCCGTGTCCATCCACTGGTAGAAGGGGGCCATGATAGCATTGGGGTTGCTGGAGTGCTCCAAGCCCAGCGAGTGTCCCAGCTCGTGCACGGCCACCAAGAAAAGGTTGTTCCCTGCAGGAAAAGGCACCATCAGCAAGACAGGGGAGAGGACACAACACCTGGTGTGGGTTCTTGGCCCCAAGACCCCATGATGAGGGTGCTGCAGTGGGAGCTGCCTGCATCACCCATGGTGGAGCAGCTCTCCCTGCCACACCAGCACATCCCCCTGCCCTCAAACCCAAATCCCACCAGGTTCCTCTGCTTGCCTTCACCACCTCCTTGGCCCTCAACTCACCAGACACATCTGTGTTCTCCAGCGTCCAGGGCTCATCTGAGTCAAAATGTGTGTCCCCCCCCATGCCAGGACCGGGAAAATAGGCATGAGCCAAAAATCCCCCGACACCGTCGAAGGGGGAGCTGTCTCCGTGGAAGCCAGAGGCAAAGAGCACCATGATGTCAGCCTCCTTCTTCCGCTTCTGCCGGATGTCCTCGTAGGGCACCTCCCGGAACACCAGAGGCGTAGCTTGCTCCCACACCCGGAAAGCTCGACGGACGGCCTCATACGAGTGGTACCGACCCAGCTTCTCCGTGTAGTTTTGGATGCTGGGGGTACAGAGCTCACTGGGGACGGCCCAGGACAGCGCTCACTCCCCAGGGGGGTCCATGGCTCTCCATGGGCTGAGGAGGTGGGTAGCCCTGGAGATGCTGGGTACCTGAAGGTGAGATGGCTCTGGCTCCAGCGCCGTCCCGTCAGCGCGTACCGCTTCCGTCGCATGTTGGACTTCATCCGTGCTCCAAACTGGTCCGGGACCCCGCAGCGGGGACGTTTCATCCACCTGCCAGGAGGGCATCGAGCCAGGGCTCAGCGCAGGGCGGTCAAGGTCCCCGAGGGGTTACAGCAGCCATGGACGGTGAGGGAGGTGTCCTGGCTGCCCGAGAGGTGAGATGCAGCCCCATGGGAGACAGCACCCACATTTCCAGGTACAGGCAGAGCTCCGGGGCCAGCAGGCAAGGCCAAAGAGCCAGGGAGCGGAGCTGCCTTCTGCTAGAACAAGAGGACACGGAGAAACTCACGCCTTGGTCTC